GGGGGGGGAGTTTGCTGAATAGCCTGTACGACCGTTGTCACGACTATTTCTTTTCACTTTTTTGGACTATTATCTATTTAATTATTTATTGAAGAAGGGCACGTACGACAAAAAAAAAAGTAACATTCTTTTAAGACAATCAAACAGCTTGTCGTACCACTGCTAAAACTTATAAAAAAAATATGCCTGTAAGATTAAGGGCATTTTAAAAGTTTTACTGTGTTATAATTCTATTCTTTTGTTGATTATTTTAATGTACTACTGAAGTTTGGTTTATGTTACAATTCTCGCTTATAAAAACAAACAACAATAATCGGTTGATTTAAAATAAAGAAACTTATTATTATTAACTTAATTTTTTCCTTGGAATCAACATCATTCATTATAGGGTCCTTTGTTTTATTATTATTGTTATTATCATTATATGTAGTGTAATGGTTTCTTTAATTGATCGACCTAATATTACTATCCTCAATAATTTAATTATTGTGATCGATCCTTATAATCGTTGATGTTGGGCAACTCGGACAGCGTCGTATGATTGTTATATTTTTTTTTCAATAATGTTTGTAGGCCTATTGATAATAGGCCAAAACCACTCCCACCTGAATTTTCTAGCAAAATAAAAAGCTTGGAGGCGGGATTTCTTTTTTTTTTTTTTAAATAAAAATAGAAATTGTCCAGGAAATTTTAATCAAATTAAGTATAGACCTATTTTAAGTGAATTATAACGATGGTTTCACCAACCTATTGAAAATGATTAATTTTAACACATTTAATTTGATTAGTGATATTGTATAATTTTTAAAAAAATCAAAAAACAAAGGGGAAAAAAAGCCACCCCTCCCCATCTAAAATTGTGTTGTGATGCGACGCTAGACAAGTAATTTCTTCTATTTGGTCTTATTGGAAGCTATAAAAAAAATATTAACACGAGATACTGGTAATTAATATATCTTATGTATAAATGCTGGTTTATAAACTTTTATCTAAAATAATCTAATTATGGTAAACGCCATAAACGCACGTATATTCTATATCTGGATGATACTGTTCAAGAGTCCTTCGTGACGTTTTCATTTCCAGTATTGTAATTATTACATTAAAAACTCACTTGTTTTATATTTCATTTTAAATTATCTGTATCCACTATAATTAATTATCTTGGATGTTGTAATTAAGGAAGGAAGCTTATGGAATAAAACTAAATTTATCTTACAGTGTAATCTAACCATATATTTAAAAAGTACGGTAGTGTTACATGGATAAAAGAGGAAATCTATAGGATTTTAAAGGGAAGAACTGTTGATATAAGTGAATTATATCAACATACTAGCCATCAAGCCATAACCACAGACTCTATGGGTC